TAGCAATTAAGTAATTAAATTTTTAGCATGACCAGTTTTCTTCTGTTTTTAAATATGTAAAATTTGATAGACTCTTCATCCCTGGCAGTTGTTGGTGATTATAGGCATAAACTGTCGAAATGTGTGTGTATTTGGAAGTGTCTAGTCGGAGGACAGATGCATGGTATACAGACAATCTTAGTGAATAAAAATTTGTGCACACTGGGATTGTAACACCCAGCTGGAGGGGCACTATCCACCGTATTTATTAGAACATCATAAAGAGGCCATAGTTAATTAAGTAGTACACGCATCATTTTTTCCGATACCATTCTTATACATTTTATAAAGTAGACTGTAATGTACTGCTCTGGGCTAACATTTTGTGCTCCCAGATGTTCGTTTGCATATATTCATATACAATTTTTAAACAAAAATGACACTTTTTTACAAAAGAGTACAAACAAAATCTCTGTAATAGTCCAAATTATATGTTACATTTACAGTAGGAATTATACTTTACTAATCAAACACTAAGTTATATTTTATTTCATTCATTTCTTTGGGGAAAAAAGCATTAAAAGACTGTCTCCAGTTAATCCCTAGTTTGGTAATATGGGTTCTTAGAGCAATTAATTTAGTTTAGCAGCCCTAGTTTAAATGTAGTTAAAATGTTTTGTTAGAAAAATTTTTCAGACATACAGAAATAAAAAGCATATGTGTACTCACCACACACTTCATCAAATACAAGCCCTTTTCTGCCACGCTGCTACTGCAAGAAATAAGCAAATCCTAAGTATAAGTTGCAGCTCCTTCCATGTGCCTCCAGAACGCATTTCTCCTGCCTGTCTGCCCAGGGATCAGCATTAACCTGAATTTGGTCTATATTATCTGTGTCCATGCTGTCAACTTGCTCTAGTTTGAGTCCTGAAATTATACATTGCATGGCTTTGTCCATTTTCAAGCTTTATTATAACGATGTCATTTATGTGATGTTTTTTAAAAGCTTACCGTATAATGCTGATACCATTAAACAGAGCCAAGCGTACCCAGGACGCAAAGATTGTGAATATACATTGCCCAACTCAGAAACTTGCCATAAAAAAATAAGGCAGAAAAATTCATAGTGTGAACAGAACTGTTTGAATGGCATTTATTTGTTTTTGCAGAGGAGCTCCTGGGTACCTCCCATAGTGTGTTCCAGCAGCCGTTGACTTAGCCGCTGGTTGAAAGGGGGAAAGCGGTTTCTGTTTGATACAGAGGGCTCTTGGCAATGATGCCCTTGTTCCTGTAGGCAGGTAGTTAGTTGATGGGGGTGTCCTTCATGGCTTCTCTCACCACGTCGGGAAGTTAAACATTTTTGTAAAGAAGCAGGTGATAATTGGATTACCTTAACCTTTCTTTCCTCTGCATTGAGTGTTTGTTGGAGGCGAAGCAGTTACTATGGTGGCTTGCTGTGCGTTGACTTTAAATCTGCAACCCTTCTGGGATGGGTGTGATCTGCTGTTGTTACATTTCTGGCAGTGTGCAGCAGGCTGTATGCAGGGCAGGGTCACTCCTGGCAGACACCGTGGGTGCTGAGGGCTGCCTTGTGTCTGATGATTCCTCGGAGCCATTCCAGCATCACAGAAGGATGTGCCATTAGTGATGAAGTCTCCCAAGTTGGCAGAGAAAGGAAACCTTACTGGGAATTTGTATATGCTGGGGTGTCTCTGTCCGTTGGATTTGATTTAGTCTGGTTGTCGGATTTCAATTTTATGGATACAGCCGGATGTAGACAAAGTGATTGTGAGGCTGAGGTACAGCAAACTCTTTTGCCTCACAGCTTGCCACTGTTCTTTCCTGGAAATTTTAGTGTTTTGACTGTCTCCAGCCAATTGTTCAAGTTGTCAGGAAATTTTTGTTTTATTTTTGCAATGAAGTCTTACTGAAGTTTCAGTCTCTTTTATCTCAGTGTGTGATCAGATGCTGAGTTGCGTTGCTCACAGTTCGTGTTCTAAGGTGTTTGCAGCAGGGCAGTGAGCTGTTTCTTCCCATTTCAAGTGGAATCTGAAATTCTCTTCTGAGAATGGAGTGGCTGGGGGGACAGATGTGCTGCCTTGAGGAAGATGTTAATTTTTTTAATGTTTGTTTTGTTAATTATTCTGGTTAATAGAGAATAATGAAGATGGATTTCCAAATTTAGAAATTTAGAATTTGTAAAATTCCCAAAGTACTCTAAATATTCTTTGTTAATTAAAAAATGGTTTTTTTTTTAGTGTTATCACTGTGTGCTTTGAAATTTATTTTAAAAGTAGGAACGTCAGGAGCCAGCTCTTCTCATCAATTGAGACGTGGAGAAAAGAATTTAAGGCTATTGTGTAGCTCTTACTATACATTATTAATTAATTAAAGAGAAAAATGAGCTCTTGACAAGGAACTGATAAATCTCTCTCTTTTCCTTCTAGCCCAAAGGGTTAACCTTACGTTTTATATTCTTCTGCAACTTTGTGTTTGTTACTTGATTTATTCCCTGTCATCTCATTCTAGGCATCCACCATCCTAAGGGAAACAAGTGCACAGTGCTTGGCACGTAGTAGGTGTTCAGTAAACATCAGCTCTTATCACCGTCTGCGAAGCGTGTTTCCTAATGAGCACAGCTGCACAGGAGAGTAGCACACTTTGAAGTGCTGGATCTGAGTTTCCATCATGGGAACTGTTCTCCTTGTCCTCCTCCTTAATTTGGTAGCAGCCTCTTCTAGAATCCTAAATGTGTCCCATCAGCCCTTGTTTTTATTATGACCCGTGACATTGCCCCTTTTAATATGTATATTTTTTAAATCAGCTGTTCCATCTCACATCCCTTTGAACCTGGATTCCATTAGCTTTTCATTGTAGCAGTGGACACCACAAAGTCTGTTCATTTCATATATCATCTCAGATTTGAAAAGCACATGAAAATGTTTCTCCATTTTCAATATTGCGTGAGTAATGTTCCCATTGAAAAGTAATGGAGTGAAGTTGTCACTTGTCAGCACAGTTATTAAGGAGGACGAGTCTCCGATCTTTCTCTCATAATAAAATAAATCTGTCAGAAAATCATTGTGCTCACACTTCCTCATGCCATCGAGAGAGGAGGCTGAGACGATGGAGCTCCTTCAGTTTTACCCAAGTCAAGGTGTGCTTTTGGCTGGGGCTTCCCTGGGTTAAAGGTCACCACCCTTCCCACCCGGCGCCCGTCACTCGTTGTCCGCAGCGCATCGGAGATAATTGACTCAGGACCTCGTCAAACAAAGCTGTTCATTATTTCCCAAATACTGACCTTTTGTCCAAAGGCGATTTTCACGGGTTTTCTTTTCCCTTCGTTATTTTTTGTGGTTTTGTCCATTAGCTTAACTTCGAATTTGCCATTTTCCACCCACCCAGAAGCAATACAAGGAAAATGTTAACAGCACCTTGATACTAATCAAGGGTGTGCCGTTAAATTGCACAGCTGACTAGTTAATAGAATTTTAAAATCATTCAAACATGAGTTAAATATGTATGTTTATGTAGTGGATTTTCCAAATGAACATTGAGCAGCCCCTTTTTTCCTCGGCTATGTGAACTGCAGCTTTCGAATGCGTTTTTCTATTGGGCGTTACTTTCCTCTATGGCCCATTGGTTTGTAGTAATTGAATTTTGAACTTTTTAAAAAAGAATTAAAAGATAATTTTGTGGTAGAAAAGTCAGTGGGAAAGTTTAGACGGTTCTCTTTAAAAATGATGAGTCAGTGGAGATGAACTGCTGAGCGGTCTGCTGGTCGGACGTGTCTGTGCGCACACATAGATCACGCGTGTTTTCTAAATGTGTATTGGCAGGAATTCTGCAAACAGGGGCAGAGCCCCGTCTGTGAACTGCAGCCCTTACCCAGATGCCAACTTTCCTTTTGCTTTGCAGTCTCGGAAAGGGAGCGACCCAGACAAAGAGAAGAAAGGCCTGGAGAGTCGTGCGGACAGCATCGGGAGCGGCCGAGCCATCCCAATTAAACAGGTGAGCAGCGTCCCCATCCTTCCTTCCCTGTCGCCGGAGACACACCTCAGGTCTTCCCGGAGATGATGCTGGCTCGCGCGCCAAGGTCTGTCTGCTGTGCTCTGTTGATGAATGTAGAAGTCTGTCACTTGACATCAATTAGCAGAGTTCCTGTGTGTATTCAAATGGGATCATTAGAATGAGAAGAGGGAACGGAGACAACAGACCTAATGAAGTGCGGGCTGCCCGCCTGCATATGGAGTGCGTTTCCAGGCTGAGAGCCTTCAAAGGCTGCCTTTGTAGCGCGGCTTTGATTGGGCCGCGGGCCGCCAGGCAACAGGGGTAACTCAGATCGCCTACAAGAGCCCCTTGTGATCACAGGAACAGCCCGACGTGGCCCTAATTTGCTCTCACAGACGGACATCTGAACACTGTTTCAGGCTGGTTTGTAACAACGAGGCAATTAGTTGTGATAATCATAGCCGGTGTGTCAGCTGTGCGCTCTTGTTTGTAATTTGCTAATGAAGGAATTGTAACTTTGATTAGGTTCGGTTTCATTTAGACCTTATTATATAAAGGAACATTTACAGCTGTAATGTGGGGCCTTAATTAAACTTCCTCATTACACAACAGGACTTGAATTCAACCATTTGTTTTGGCCTGTGTTGCTAGCCTGGAACAGGATTTCGTTAGCCCAGAACCAGATTCTAAATCATTTTATGTCTCCAATAAGAAAAAAAAAAAAACCCTGGAGTCCACGTGTGACGTAGATTGTGGTTCGATTTCCATGGAGAATAAAAATAGAGTTCAACCCCACGCCGTGGCTTCTGGAAATGGCATCTTCTGGTTTGTTAAAGAAAGCCAGTTGATTTGGAGTGCATCCTTCTTGAGCAAAAGCCTCTGTGGGCAGGAGAAGGGCTCCGCCTCTCAGGCACAGGGCTTGTGACCGGTGTGCACCTCTGGTCCAGCTCACTGCTTTGCTGTCCTCTCTCCTGCGGGTACCTACACGGCGTCCCTAATCCCTTAGGAACTGTGTAGGCACTGGCTGCCCTTAACAAGGGGACACTCGTTCCACACATGGAGTAGGATTATTCTGGTCATGTAGGGTTCGTGCATTTGAAGCAAATAGGAACACAGCCTTAGAGACGGACCAGGCAGTGTCAGCGTGAAGATGTGGGAGAGGAAGGGGTTAAATAGGACCACAACATCTTAGGTGAGACCAGAGGAGGGACTCCACAGAGTTTCCCAAGATGCCCAGGAACTACTGCAAAGACCACAGCTCTGCCCGCAGTGTAACTGACCCTGCCCGGGATCAAGCTTTCTCCTTCCTGGCTCACAGGACATGTCTTTGCCAGGCAGAGAAGGAGGAGGCCTGCAGGTCATCACCAAGGCCCTCATGCATCTGTGTAAGACACACGTTCATCTACTGGGCCGCACATGTATGGATTGGCCCGGGGCACCTTTAGGAGAGGTTCTCTTCCCTCCATATATTCAAAGACAACAACAACAGAACTTCCCACTTTGATGGTGGGTGGTGTTTTCACTATAAAAAAGGTCCTTCACTTTAGAGGTCCGTGCACATAGTTGTTTATTCTTTCTTGGTGCATTTATTTATAACCTAACTCTGCGTAAGCTGACATTAATGTGTAATTTTTATGCCATTGATCCCTTTTTCAACTGGAATTATAAAAATCATTTAACATTTTATTTTCTTTTTTATAAACTGGTGCCAGGACATTTACTTTGGGGAATATTAAAACTAAATAAAAGACTGTTTTCTTAATACCTGTCTGTGGTTGATTTGGGTGGGAGTGCTCACCAGCCTGGCAGGAGTCCCTCTGTGCGAGCCAGGCGGGCCCCCAGAATAATTGGAACCTTCATTCAATTTGTACCCTGCTCATCTGTGGAGGGGGCTAGCTTTGCAGGCTAGCTTTTCAATCTGTGTGCAGATTGGAGTTGACCATCAAGCGTAAAATGAGTATTATCCAGTCCTTGGAAGCCTTTCGATTGTGAATGTTCAAAGTAATCTCGTTGAAATCTAAATCATGGTCTGATTTCCCGGTGACTCCTGGGCACAGGGAGCTCCTTGTCCCTCCTAATTGTCCCCCTCTTGTAGCCATAGACAGCTCCCTCCTCAGATCCACACCTGGCCCAGCAGAGTCCCCCTGTGGCTGGCTCTCCAGGCCTCAGGTGCCACATCTGTAAAATGGGGAACTGGATGATGTCTGAAGCCCTTGAAGCAGTTGGATGTGGAGGTTCCACAGAGAATTTTTAAATGTTAGCAATACTGGATTTTTGAATTAGTCATGTTCAGGGCACCCTTGTCAGAGCCTCTCTATGCATCGGGCGGATTGATGTGGATTTGCAGACGGTTGTATCGATTTATCTCACATCCCTGTGTGTGCCCTTGTTTCTAAAGGAACATAGATCACTCCAGGTAGCCTCGAATTCCTGACCCTCCTGGTGTGATGACTTCAGTGTGGAAATGAAATGAGAGGATTGCAGGGGATGGAGCCTGATGGCCATATTCTAGAAACTCAACCGAATTATTTGTTGAATAAATGAACAATTAAATGAGTGCTTATTATGTAAGTACTGTTCATTCAGGATCCTGTTTAATCCTCGACATTGCCACAGTTGTGGTAGCTGTGTTGTCCTTATTTTAAACACAGAGATGGGGAGGACCCTATACCAGGCAGCCAGGAAGTAGGTGCAAGGATGCGGACCAGGTCTCTCTGCCCCCATGCCCGTGCTCTTTCCACTGCCCATCGGTGAAAAGCCTTCAGAAAGCTTAGGAAGCAACGTTACATGTTTTAAATTAAGTAAGTGAACCACAACCTGCGACGAAAGTATCTTATGACTGTAGAAAGAAACTTCCGAGACTGACTGCAGCAACATGTTTCTCCGGGGATAACCCAGCCGTGCTCAGCCGTTCTCCGGGTGGGAGGCATCTTTCCTTTCCCCTCCTTACCGTGTTTGCCGCAAACGTGTTCTCTGCTCTTGTCACCAGCTGCAGAGGACTGGGTCTTAGTGCTCAGCCCATGCGGAAGACTCAGGTCTGCGTGATCAAAGCCTCACACACCAGCTGATGGACCTTTGCCTAATGGCAGAGGAATCGTTTTAGAACCTCAGCAACCTGCGTGGAGTTGCTGTTGCAGACTCTTCGTTCCCCCAACAGGAGTCTTGTAACGGATGGTTTAGGACCCAGGCAAGGCAGCCTTCAACACTCTTTGCAACCTAACCTCTGAGTTTGCAGATTGTACATGTTGCAGTGGCTTATGTTAACCCCCTTCCACTTCCATGTGATATCTCGTTCACCGTGAGCACCAAGGCGCCCCCGACCTCGGTGTGGGAGTTCGCCGAATCATGATGGTCAATGACATTATCTCTTCTTTCTCCCAATTACAGCTTCCCCATCAAGAATATAACTTATTTTCTGGACTATAACTTCATTTCTTGTGGACCTCGGTCTACTTCTCCTTTTGTGTCCTTTCTGGGGTCTTGGAAGAGATTGGTTCAAAGAGTTCGGTTTCTTTCTTTTTTTTTTTTTTTTTTTTAACTAAGAAGATAAGGTCTATTGGAGTAAAAATTAAAAAGCAAAGCAAGAAAAATAAAAGCCAGAGGCCCGGCTCAGCGGCGAGTGGGCTTGTCACGTATTAATTTTTCATTGCTGTGGAGAGTTGTACATACATAATCACTTGATTGCAGTGGGAGTTAGGGAGCTCCTATGGTGCCATTTGCATAAATCTTGTTAAGTCAATGGCAGTTAATGAAGTACAAATGAGCCCGGAGAAGGTGACATGCAAATCGTGGGTGGCAGATGGGAGGTCTGTTTGGGGGACGGCAGCTGTGTGCTCTCCTTTCTTTCTTTCTCTTTAGCATTTTTTAATCTCTATATTTGAGTACAGATACACAGCCGTACGCCTTGGCCTCCTCCCTGCCCTTCGCAGAGCCCTGGCCAGAGAACCTGGCCATCCCCTCCTGCCCCTGATGTCCAGGCTGCAGAAACCGTTCAAGACTTGCCTTGTCCTTGGGTAGCGTACACTAGAAGGATTTGAATTGTTTGAAAATCGTGCTTAGTTTATTTCATCATACTTACACAATTGAAAACATACTATTTTTATGTGGTGGGGACACGCAGAACCTCCTCGTGACATTTTTTGAGACTGTGTTGTCTCATGAGGTTTCAGAATGAAACAGAATGGAAGATGCCATCTTTGCCTTATCCTGCTTCCATTTGGGGGTCTTTTCTTGCTGCTTCAGACAGGCCACCTGTATGTAGCCATTATCCCCGTCCCTGGTTGGTGGTTGGACCCTCAGAGGATTGGCGTTCCTAGGGTTAGTCAGGAATGAGAAATACAGAAAGTGTGCGGGGCATGCTCTGTGTCTCAGGCCATGGGGACGACCCCTCCCTGTCACGCAGACCCCTCAGAGGGGCCGCCCCTGGCCTGGCTCAGCTTCGGCCAGGGTGTCTCGCGCTCGCGGTTTTGTGTTTAAGGATTTAAGTGCTAGCAGGACTCCCAGAGAGCCCTTAGAGATTCACGGGAAGAACACTGCCTGCGACTTTCAGAAGTTTTGTGTTTATTTGATCAACTGGCTGTTTTGAGAGAACCAGGTCTCTGCTTGCCTCAAAGAAAGGTAGGCAGAGAGATGTGCGTCGGGAGGCGACAGCCCGGATGGCCGCGGTGGTCACGTGCTGGGGGTCCTTTTCTTGCAGGCCACCCGCTCTGGTCCTTCCTCTGCGATGCCCGCCAAGGTGCTGTTTCTCAGTTCTCGGGGCTGCAGGGCGCTAAGGGGGACCCTCCTATCCGGCAGGCTCCCTTTTGTGATGCTCGGTGGAGACACCAAAGAAACAACATTCCTCAAAACTTTTTTTTGTTAAGTCTTCATTTTGACCTTGAACCCTGATGTCATGGCCACCTCCAGGGAGTCAGCTGTGAGAGCAGTCATTTTCCAGCAGCCATCTGAAGCCGCGGGAAAAGCCTTCCCAAGCTGTCAGAGGAAGAGCCGGCCTGCCCGGG